CTACATTTTTGTTACACGCTAAAATCAAATTTATTATTATAAAATTTTCTTTAAAAATTGCATTAAACTTTTTCTTTCCATTATTGATACATAATATCTTTACTTATATTCTACCAAAATTTGAAACAGATCCTTGGTAGGATATTGATAAAACTAGGTGGTCCTATCATTTTGTTACAGAGTGGATAAATGGGCCGTAAATATCCTTCCGTTTTACATTTACACTTTTGTCCGAATTAAAAATCCCTTATCAATTATATACTAACAATAAATAAAAATTTGGAAGGAAAATATTTTTTAGGGATTTGCCTAAATCTTCGTGTAGCTTTCATATTTATAAACATTATACATAGGATTTTTAATGTCATCCTGTGAGTAAATAAATAATGAATCTAAAAAGAAAATATAAATTAATTTGGACAGAAGTAAAGTAAAAAAACAAAAAAATCTCTTAAAAATAACCTTAAAATGTAACAATTTCTAGAAACAAAATATTACATAATTTTTAAATGAAAAATTCTTGTACTTTATTTATTTTTTTAAAACAAACAAAAGGTTATAGTTTAATTAAATATTTCCAAATATTTTTAATTTTCTCTCTCTCTCAAATTTTTTACAAAATCTGGAAATGTTTTTACAAAAAAAAGGAAAAATAGTTTTAAATTTCGTTTGTTTTTGGAAATTTATTTTCGAGAATTATGTATACAAAATTTAATAGTGTATGTAGTTGTTTTGCTAATATTTACATATTTTATAAAAATTTAATGAAACGCTTAAAAGTTTAATTTTAATTAAAAGTTTGGGAGAGAGATATTTATTTTTTAATTTTAATTTGAAAACATCAATCAGCCAAATTTTAAATTAAATTTTTATTCAATTTAAGCCGTAACTTGAAAGTCAAAGAATTAAAAAAAATTTGTTCTTTTAATTCTAAAATTTAATAAAAAAAATAAGAAATGTTGCCTATTTAATTTTTTAATCCATTCAAAACTTGGGGAATACAGGAAACCTCCACCCCGTCTCGCCATTAAATAATTTCCAAAAATACTCCCCCCCCCCCCCCCCCCCCACATATAATGAACCCACTCTTTAATATAATTTTAAGAAAGCCATTACTTTCAGAGAAGCGATTTTTAAAATTTTCCTGCAAAACAAAAGCGTTGAAGGACCTAAAACTGAAATAAAATAAACCAAAAAATACTATTTGTGAACAATCCTATTAAAATTATCCAATAGGACTAATTTTAATTAATTCAGATATGTTCAACGTTTTTGTTTCAATGGCCAAAAGTAGTGCTAATGGGGCGTTGATTAATTCAGGAAGTTAATTATATACCTAATTTATTTATTTAATGAAAATTATTTTTAAAGATAATTTTGTAAATAAAGAACAATTAATTATTGCATTAATTAAACAGGAAAGAGCAAAATCGAGGCTACTAGATTCGTAAATAACTTTAAAATTAAAATAAAATTAAAGTTTAACTTGAAGTTATAAGTTACTTCAATATGAAATAAAGCAAATGAAAGAAGAATATAGCAAATCGAAAAAACAAAATTTAATTGGACGTTATATAAATATGCAAAGAATGATTTATAATTTAATACAAGTTGAAAGACAATATTGGCAAATGTATGATATTCCAACACAAGCTATTTCTGAAACACCTTTTGATTATGTTATTAGGTAAATAATTTGGTGTTAGCTTTTGACTTGAGAAAATTAATAAAATATTTGGTGTAATTAAATAAGTACAGAAGGGGTTTTAGAAAGAGGATAGGGGTTTGTTGCCAAAGGATTTATTCAAGCAAAAATACTTGATTGTATCTCCTACTCACTCTTTGTCATTTGATAACAGAGGAAGGGCCGAAGAGCCAGAGGTGTCGAAAATTAGAAGAGCGAAAATCGGAACTGGCTCAAAAGTCGGAAATCGTAAATCAAAATTTTTTTCGGAAATCGGAAGGAAAAAAACGTCAGAAATTGGAATTCCGACCTACCACTACTTGATAAGTGGGTACTTTTCTGTTTTGTGACCGCACTTTTAAAATGTTTAAAAAGGGTCATTAATATGCAAAACTTATATGTCATTCGAAAGAGCTCCTCGAGCTGAGTCGAATGACACCAAAATCAGCTCGAGATCTTGATTATGAGCCAAGATAAAAAGGTTAAAAATGGTCAACGTAAACCTATGGATGGCATAGGTAAAGCTAAAACAAACGATCATAACTTTGTCCAAATTTGTTCAATCACGGTGATTTTGGTATCTTTCGACTCAGCTTACCGAGCTCTTTCAAATGACATACATTTTGGTCATATTCATTATTTTGACCATTTTGATCCTTGTATCTTTTGACCATTTCGAGCCCGTACCATTTCGAATCCCACATTATCTTAATGTCATTCGATTCAGCTCGAGGAGCTCTTTCGAATGACATATAATTTGTCGATATTCATGACCCTTTTTAAACATTTTTAAAGTGCGGTCACAAAACAGAAAAGTACCGATAAGTGTTTTATTAGAGCAAACTGGCTCATTTTTCGGCTGTATCAATACCAAATGACTATTTGAAATTCATAGATTACAAATAAAACGTGAATAGAAGCCTAAATCTATCGGAGAAAACCAAATAAAATTCTAGGAACTATTATTTAAATTAAAAAATTCAAAATTTTTTTAAAAGAATTTCCGAATTAATTGATGAAAGAAATATAAAAAGTAGTTCAACATCATTTACTAAAAATGGGGGTACGATAAAACAACTTCTCGGAGCTTCTATTTCTATTGCTGAAAGAACTAAAGAAGTATCTATTTGTAATTTATTAAGAGGTAAATGAGTTGATTAAGACGATTAATTAATTTATTTTTAGCAAAATCATTGGAAGATTTAAACGAAATATATGCTCAATTAAGTATTGAACTTTACAAAATAATAAATAAATATCTTGGATTGAGACTTGCAATACATGAATTGTCTAAAGCTTATAAACATACAAGATATTATCCGTTAATACCTCGTTACAATTTGGTATTTAAATATATATTTTTTAATTAATTTATTTATATAGTTAAAGGCAATGATTAAAAAGATATTACGTTCACCAACAGTATTAGAACGGGAAATTTAGAAGAAATAATTTTTTAAAATAATTTTTAATTATAATAAATATGTACATGCTATAATAATTTTAAATTCATAAAAATCTTCGAACTTAATATTATGGTACTTTTCCGTTTTGTTACACCCACTTTCCTCAATATTAATGCTCAAAATGTTATATATAGGGTAATAATAGGTGCTGAGTCTAACGGTACCACTCTTTTTTCCAGATATGTCTGTGGACAGAAATATAAGTCCGCCGAAATCGAAGAACATAGAGGGGACCAAGCAGATTTTTGGGATGAAAAATTCGCCCCTTTATTTTTTCAATTTTGGAGGACACATATATCTCAGTCCACAGACATCTCTGGAAAAAAGAGTGGTATCGTTAGTCTCAGCACCTATTATTACCCTATATAACATTTTGAGCATTAATATAGAGGGGTGTAAAAACGGAGAAGTACCAATATTATCTCTAACATTTACTTTTAGGTAAAGGTTGTCTTAGGTTTTTTATTTTTTTACCTCTTTTTAGGTAACTTTGGTTGTACATTTTCTTTTAATGCATCTTTTTCCAGCTGATCAGATCAGCTCGATTATAAAAAAGATACCTTATTCCGTTATCTCTTAAAAGACATGAGAATTATTCGAATCGGACGAAATTAGAGGTCGGCAAAATCGTGTTTGCGGGATCCCGCGGGATAAAATTTTTTAAAAAATCCTTGCGGGACGGGATCCCGCGGGATAAATCCCGCAAAATCCCGCATTCCCGCAAATCCCGCATTTTAAATTTGCGGGATCCCGCGCGGGATTGCGGGATTTTTCAAAAATCGTTGAAATTATAAATATCTATTGAAAAAATCAATTTCCTAATCATTAACTGGTTCTTAACTCTTACTCGTTGGTCGTACACGTATTGTACTTCGTACCAAATTACGAGTACAAGTTGGTACAAACGTATAACCACTTATCCCAGGCCCCAATTATCAAAAAATCATAAGGGGCAAGCTCATACATATTGGTCAGAAGATTCAAGTATACGAATTAGAATAGCTTGAGCTGAAACAAATGGGATCAATCATCGTGATAAAACAATTTGGCAATTTTGTTTTGATAAAATAGAGATCATTCCATGTGCGGCAGGCGAAAATTTTGGAAGGCCAAGTATCCAAATTCCTAACTTTTTCAGCGCCGGAGGCAAAAATTTCGAGATTTTAGAAGGCAAGCGAGTCAAAACTCACTTTTTTCTTGCGCCGCAGGCGAAAATTTTTTGAATTTAGAAGGTTAGGAGCCAAAATCCTCCATTTTTCTAAAATCCCGCAAAATTAAAAATATTTTGCGGGATCCCGCGGGATAAAATTTTTTAAAAATCTTTGCGGGACGGGATCCCGCGGGATAAATCCCGCAAAATCCCGCATTCCCGCAAATCGAAAAAAGTGCGGGATTGCGGGACGGGATCCCGCAAAATCCCGCGCGGGATCCCGTCCCGCGCCGACCTCTAGACGAAATAAAGAAAGTTACGTAGTCGTTCTGAAGCATAACTGAAGCGTTCTGAAACGGCCTTGGCGGATGTCAAATTATCGTTTATTAAAATATCGTTTCATCAAAATGTCGTCACGACAAAAAGGGTCAAAACATCGGTTTTGAATAAAAGCCAATTAAGTGCCAAGAGTTGAGATGGTCGAAATTTTTTAATTTTCTTGAAATTTCCTCCTAACTAATCAAATCCCACATTTCGTGATTTTTCTTAAAAATTTTGCGGGCGGAATTCTGCTAAGTTTTACAAATAGAAAATAAAAAAGTGCAAGATCCCACCTGCACAGATACTTAATGATATTGCCCAATATTTTTTTTTATGAATTAGAATTTTTATAGAAATCAGGGAAAGCTACTTAATAAATAATGCAACGTGCACAAGCTAAACATGCAAAAATATTATTTCACCGTCTTCATGATCAAGCATCGACATCTAATTCGAATTATTTGAGATATATTCAGAATAGAAAAAATAATACTGTTACATCTTTTAATGGAAGGTAAAAAAATTATTTTTTTAATAAAATAATTATTTGGTCTTGGGCCCTTTACTAGGGTGGGGGCTAACTCGAGGAATTCCAACTCACGGAACAGACAGTTCGCGGAACGGACAATTCACTGAATGATCAAAACACGTAACGGACAATTCACGGAATGACCAAATCACGGAACTACCAAAACACGGAATATTTTAAAAATCAGAATAATTTTGAAATCAGAATTTTTTTAAATTCTGTTTTTTAAAAAGTCTTATTTTTCCAAAAATATTCAGATTTTTACAATATTCCATATTTTGGTCATTCCGTGAATTGTCCATTCCGTAAATTAGCCCGACACGCTTTACTAGACTACTAACTTAAAATATTTATTTTTAAGTGTTATTGATAATAAAAATATTTCTGAACATTCTGAATATGCTCATCTTTCTGGTGGAAGGCGTTGGGAATTCCGTGCTGGGGCAATGGCCCGTTTAGCTTCTGGTTCAGTTGTGTTAAATACTGATGAAGATAATGCGGTTTTGATTTTTAAATTTTTTTATAAATTTTTTTTAAAGATTTTGGGGACAGTTGTGTGTAAATATACACAAAAATTTTTAAATGAAGAGGAAATACTTGAAGAAATTGAAGAGAATGAACGTTTAGAATTAAATAAAAATAAGGAAGTTGATGAAGAATTTGAAGAGGGAGAAATTTTGGAAAAAAATGAAAGTGAATATGGAATTGGGGAAATAACAACAGATCAAATAAATGAAATGAAAATTGAAAAAAATAAAAAAATTGAGAATGATTCGGTATTTTTTTAATAGAAATTTTATATTATGGGGTTATTAATGGGGGTATTCGAAAACTTTGAAGCCCTATAACTTTTCGAATTGGGGGTCGGAGCCAATAAAACAAAAAATTGGCAATAGGTTATCGACCATTTTTTACACGTTGGTATAACTTTTATTTAAAAATTTTTGGTCACAGTTCGAAATGTTTCTTTGTCGGTTAGATTTAATTTTTTGAATCATTTAGTCAAGATTTTGGAATTTTTTTTGGATATTTTTTAAGTGATTAAATTCGACTTAATCATTTCATATTTTCCCATCTTATGTGTGAAGGACCCTATTGCATTAAAGAATTTTGTTTGAGAAAAAAGGAATTTCTAAGATTTTGATTAGGGTTGCCAAATTGGATGACTCGGACCGAAAGATCGAGTCGGGTCTAAAATATTTGGCCCGAAAAAGACTCGTACGGCCGGCCTGATAAAGTTAAGCTCGAAAAAATGCCTCGACCGTCGGCCCGACTCGGGATCGGTAACCCTAGTTTTGATTAACCGCCGGCTTTCAAACAAACCTATAAACATTAATATACCTCATATACTTATTTTAACAGAATTTTTCTGGCCTTCCACTTACTGTTGATTTTCGACCATCTTCCTCTGCTCTAGGTCGTATTCCAATGAATTATTTTCGAAGAGATATGTACAACAATGATCAAGTTTTTTTTCCTTTAAATTTTTTTCAATTTTTATTAATTTAAAGGATGTTGCGTTTTCTAGAGTTATCGATCGTTCTATTCGCCCCACAATTCCTGAGAATTTTCCTCACAAGACGCAGGTTTTATAAATTTATTTTTTAAAGAAAATTATTTTTTAGATTGTTTGCAAACCTTTAGCATTGGATACAGAAACTGGTGATGCTGTTATTATGGGAATTAATGTTGCTTCTGCAGCTTTAGCTGTTTCCCCGGTTCCTCAAAATTGTTTAGTTGCAGCCGCTAGAGTGGGAATTATTGACGAAAAGGTTTTTAAATTTATTGAGTTTGTCTCCTTTATTTAACTGTGCCTTTTAATGTCCGTATTTTATTTAACAATAAGAAACAAATTCGAAAATCTTAATTAAATTTTTTGAATGAATATCTAAATCTTAAACATTTTCCCAATTTACATGAAAATGACTAAAATTGTTGACGTTTTTGTGGAAGGTATTACCTTATTGTTTTGAATTCAATAGAAAAATTCTATAAAGGCTTGTCTTAATTACTAATTTTTTATTTAAAAATTTTTGAAGATAATTGTTAATCCTTCACATGAGCAATTGAAACATAGCAGTCTTGATCTTGTATTGACTGGGACTGCAATTGGGAAGAAAAGTAAAGGAAATAATGAATATGTAATTATGGTTGAAATGGAAGGAAAAGAAGTTGAAGCTGAGAAATTTGGTTTATTTTTTGTTATTAGGGAATTAATATTTGCCATGCATCTTTGACTTTTTATTGCGTGTATTATTCTCAATATTCCGATTAACGGGTCGGCGTTGGGCTCCAGTCGTGGATCCTTCACATGAGCAATTGAAGAACGCCACGCTGTTAAAATACACGAAAAGAGCTCTTTTTAATAAAAACTTAATTTAATAAAAAATATGAAACAAAAATGGGTGGGGACAAAAGGGATATAGAACCGACCAAAGGTCTCGAAATCAGATTGGACCCAGTTCTCCATTCCCTTAAGTAATGATAAAAAGGGGGTGTAGCTTTGACAATTATATTGAGAATTTTTAAAATTAAAAAAAAATTTCATTTATAATTTTAGTTCAATGTATTCAACAAGGATTTGATGAAATACGCCTCACACAAAGTGCTATTGAAAGATTAGCTAAAGTAGTTGGACATGAAAAATATAAGGTTTTTTTGATTTTTAAAAATAATTTTAAAAATTCTTTTAAGACATCTCCAAATGAATTTCCTGCTGATTTACTAGAAAAAGTTTCTGTTTGTGAAGGGGCAATAGAAGCTATTTTAAAAGAACATTCTCACAGTAAATCTTCACGTGGGGAAGCAATCGAAAATGTTTTCTTTTTTTTTGAATTTAAATAATTTTTCAAAGATTTTCCAAGGTTGGCGGTTATTAATGGACAGACAGTCACAGACTTATAGTGAACAAATACTTCGAACTGTTTTTGGGGATATTGTAAATTTTGTTTGTTTTTACTATTTTTTATTTTATTTTTCAGACCAAAAAAGTCCATAGAAATATTTTATTGGAAACCGGTATTCGAATTGATGGACGTAAATCGGATCAATTTAGGCCAATAAAATGTAAAGTTAATTTATATAGAAAATTGCATGGGTCAGCAATTTTTCAAAGAGGGCAATCTCAGGTAAATAATATTTTTGTTTATCTTTATGATTTTAGTGGTCAAAATTTTTATGCTATTAGAAAAAGATTGTCCACAACAAATTCCTTAAGACAAATAATAAACTACCAAGGGCGTAGGGTCGGTTTCAGGAGGCGAAAATTTTTTGAATTTTGGAGCCCAAGAAGCCAGATTTCTACCATTTTTAGCGCCGCAGGCGAAAATTTTTTGAATTTCGAAGGCCGTAGGCCAAAAAAATTCACTTTTTTGCCCCAGCTCTTCCCCAAATTTTTTCCTTTCTCCCATTTCGGGGGGGGGGGGGGTGCTTTAGCCCCAGAAGCCCCCCCTTGGCTACGCCCTTGGTACACAGGTATATTTTTTCAGCGCCGCAGGCGAAAATTTTCAGAATTTTGTGGGTTGTATAATTCACTTTTCTTCTCATTTTCCTCTTAAAATTTTTTCATTTTCCCCATTTCAGGGGGGAGAGGCTATACTTCCAGAAGCCCCCTGGCTACGCCCTTGTAAACTATATTTTAACATTTTTTTAATTTTCAGGTTTTTTCTACAGTTACATTTGATTCTCCACAAGCAGCTTTTCATCCTGATGCTATAGCGGTTTTAAATTTTTATGTATTTAATTTTTGTTTATATTTAGCAACTTTTGGGTGCTCAACGAAAAAAGTCTTTTATGTTGCATTATGAATTTCCTCAATTCGCTACAAATGAAATTGAGAAACCTGGTAAATATTTTTTAGAGAATTATTTTTGTTTATATTATTTTCCGTTAAATTAAGGTGCCAGTTCGGATCGAAGAGAAATTGGGCATGGACTGCTAGCTGAAAAAGCACTTCGAAATTTGGTGCCAGAAGATTTTCCTTATACAATTCGATTAGCTTGTCAAGTAAAAAAAATTTTTTTTAAACTACTCAAAAGATCTATCATCCTTTTCTTTAGTCAATAAGAAAATTTTTTGGTTTCTAACGGAGGTGGCCGGAGTTCCGATTTCCGATGTTTTTCTCCTTCCGTTTTCCGGCACCTTCTTCATTTCCGGCCCACCTCTGGTTTCTAACAATGAACACTAATTTAATTTATAAGAAAATATCTCCTAGTTCAATTAAGTAATTTTTAACAATTATTTGATCATTAACTCTTTTATTATTATTAACTCTTTTAATTGCAATATTAGTCAAAATTCTGTTTCATTTAACAATAAATTTAAAGGTATTAGAATCTAATGGAAGTACTTCAATGGCATCAGTTTGTGCTGGTTCTATGGCTCTTTTTGATGCTGGAGTGCCTTTGTTATCTAATCAAGTAGCTGGTTTAGCATTGGGACTAATTACAGAAAAAAGTGAAGAAGCACAAGTTAATAATGAAATTAATAAAAATGAAAGTGGAAGGTTTTTTTTGAAAATAATTTTTTAATAATATAATATTTTCTTGTTTTTAAGTAATTCCCCCAAAAATAAATTTCCTAATAAATATTTACTTTTAACTGATTTGGCTGGTTTTGAAGATTTTGCCGGTGATATGGATTTTAAAATTGCTGGAACTTCAAAAGGTTTTACAGCAATGCAAATGGACTTAAAAATTTGTGGAATTCCTTTAAAGTAAAGAGAAGACATTTTTTATTAAGTATATTACTCGATTAATTCCCTCGATTAATTCCCCTGATTACTCGATTAATTCCTCTGAGGAATTATTTTTTCAACCCATCCGTGGCATGGCGAATTATTCAAGGGACGGGAATTATTCGAGTTTTGAAATCTGAACGTGTAGGGGGATTATTGGGGGAGGGGGTTATTGTTTGAACTCATCCGTAGCAGGGGGAATTATTCGAGAGAGGGGAATTAATCGAGTAAATACGTTAATTCTATTTTAGAGTATTTCGGGAAGCTTTGAAACGAGGACAGTCTGGAATTGAGCACGTCCTTTCCCTTATGAGAGCAGAAATTCCTGAACCAAGGTAAAAAATTTTTTGAAAATTTTTCTCAAAAAAATTTTTAAAGGCCAGAAATGAAGTCTTCCGTGCCTATAATTGAATTAATGCAGTTACCAAGTTATAAAAGGCCAATTTTGTTTAGATCTGGAGCTTATAATGCAAAATTGATTGAAGCGGAAACTGGCGTTAAAGTAAAAATTTTTTTGATTTTTCGGAAAAATTTTAATTTAGGTTAGTTCAGAAGACGATGCAAATATTCAATTATTTGCTCCAAATCCCGAATCTTTAGAAAAAGCAAAATTAATGATTGAAAAATTAATGGTAGAACAACAAGAAGAACAGTACCAATTTGGAGCTTTTTATAAAGTAATTTTTAATTTAAGAAAAGTTTTAAATTCAATAAAAAGGCAGAAATTGTTCGTATTCTCGAAGGTGGAATTCATGTTTCTCTAAAAGAAGGTGGCCGACATATTTGGATCAGAAATTCTGACCTTTCTTCTGCACCGAGTAAACAAAATGCACAGGCGCTTGGTTTTGAGGTTTTCTTTTGAAGATTTTAAAATTTATTAAATTCTTTTGGGTTACTTTTCTCTTCAAGTCAGCTCTAGTAATTTTTGAATTTATTTGGAGCTGATGGGGAACTTGAGGGTTTAATCGTCCAATTTTTTTGAAACTATTTATAATATTCTTGCCCTTAAAATAAAACTGGTGAAAAATTTTAAAATTAACTGACAGAAATCTTGTTTAATGTCAGTATATTCTTGTTAGAAATCCGGGTAATATTTAGTTTGGAATTCGCCCGCTTTTTTCCTTTCTATTTTTTTCTAGTTTTTTCTCATTTTATGGCAAATTATATATCATTCGAACTGACATAAGTGAACAAAGTTGTGACCGTTTAGTTTACCCAACGAGGATTTAGCTGCATAATTTTGGTAAGAATGATCAGATCTAGCCATTCTTGGTATTATTCGACAAGGCTCGAAGAGCTGTTTCGAATGATATATGATTTAGGAAAAAAGCTCAACAAACAAGCTCAAAATGGTCAGAGAAATGGTGAAAAAAAAGGGGACGACTTCCAAACTATTATCGAAACCCATATTCTTGAGACGTTTAAATTGTTAAAAAATAATAAGATTTTTGATTGTTTTGTTCTTAATATTTTATTAATTTTCATAAAAATTTATTTTTATATTTTTATCAGGTTGGTCAAAAATTAACAGTACAATATTTTGGCCGGGATCAACATACAGGACAACACAGACTTACAAGAAAAACACTTCAAATGTTTGATCCTCCCGTAATAAAATTAAAAAAATATTTTCTTTTAAATTTTTTTATTTTTCAATTTTAGGTTCAAAATTTATTTAAAGAAAAACAACCTTTAAATGAAAAATCTCTAAACGATAAAATACAAAAGGAAACAAAAAGTTAAAATATTTTGGGGAAAATAATTTAAATTAAAAATTTATTTTGTTATAATTATTCTTATTGTTATATTTATTATTTTTCAAAAAAATTATTTGTTATTTTCGTGTTAATCGGAATTCTAGGGGAAAACGTTACCGAGGTAATAGAAATTAAATAGGGCTCTTCAGTATTTTTAAAAATTTATTTTAAAAATATTTTTATTTTTTTTTAAATATTTTATTTAAATTTCATAATGTTGCACTTTATAGCCACATATATTTAATTAAAAAATAAATAGGCGTTGACTTTTTATGTAATTGCTAGACTAGACATAAATAATATTTCTAAGTAAAGCTGCCTTTTCGATTTTTTACCAAAGATTTTCTACATTTAAACAGAGAGAAAAATCGCTTCTCCTTGTTTCTAACACTATTTCCTTCTCGAATTTAAATTAAAATCAGGCATTGACTGTTTATTTTTCCCTTATTTTAAATAAAATTTTTATTTAATATTCCATTATAAAATTTAGGTAATTTATTAAGAAATTATTTAAATATTTTTAAAAAAATGTTAAAAATTATTTTTATTTTTCTTTGTTTTTATTTCGTAGAAAGTCAACAAAATAAACTTTACCCAAAAGGTCTTTTAAAAAAATATCTTTTTAATTTAAATTAATTTTTCTAGAAATTAACGAATTAAAATATTTTTTTGGAATTCAAATAAAAATTCAGAAAATTTTTGAAGAAAATTCAAAAAAATTATTAAATATTTTTGTAGATAAAAATAATTATTTTGATGTAGAAAATGTTAATTTAGAGGAAAATAATTATGTTAAACAAATTTTTTTTAATTCTCTTAATTTGTCTTTGGAATTATCTGAAGATATTTTAAATATTGAAAAAGAATCTGATTTTTCTAGAATAATTTTCTTTAAAAGTTTTTTTATTGAAAGAAGAAATAAATTTAAAAAATGTTTGAAGATATGGAATGATGAAGCAAAAAATCATAGAAATAATGATGAAGCGTTTATTTTATTTTCGGTCAAGATTTTATTTAGAAACCTCCATCCCAGGACACTACCGATATGCCCTCTTCCTTTAGGTTTTTGCCAGATGACGCCTCCCCCGCGACGGTGTTACAGGTACATCAAAAGGATTAGGTTAGTGCCACCCGCGACGGTGACTGGGGATAACTACCTATATGTTTTTTAAGATTAAAGTTGACAATAGGTGAAGAAGGGCTGCTTAAGCTATACCCCAAATTTCATGTATATTTTTTCAGTTCCAAGTAGGGTTGGCGGATCTGGGAAATCTTTGGACATCTGATCCGTATCCGAAATTTAAGCCGGAAAATTTTTGGAAATTTTCCGGATCAAAGGTTTATTGAGATATTTATTGAGGTAATTATACTATATTTAATTTTCGGACGATTTTTAGGTAAGATTGAGATAAACTTATTTATAAACTTATTTTTTAGTTAGACTATGAAGAATTAATTAGATTTCCATTAACAATATTTGTTTCTGAAGTCGGTGATAATTTGTCATTGTCAGATACTCCTTTAAAAAAATATTTGGACAATTTAATAAATGAATTATATTCTTTAAATGATGGAAAAAAGAAAAAGAAATTAAAAATTAAATTAAAATTAATTAAACAAGAACAAATTAATTTTTTAACAATTTTTATAAAAATTAAAATTTTTGAAAAGATATTTGAAATGGCAACTAGGGCTTATCTCTTTCCAAAAGATATTGAAAAGGTATTTAATATATAATTAAAAAATATTTATAATATTTTTTAATTTTTCATTAATTAAAAAAATTTTTGAGCATTTATAATTAGGGCTCGGATTTATATTGAAATAAAATCGGAAAATATGGCCATAATCAAAAAACTAATGGCATAATTTGGTCTTTTCTCAACAAATGTAATATATTCATGCAAAAAATATATTTCAATACAAATCCGAGCCCTAATTATAATATGGAATATAGATAATATATCCATTTTATAATAGTTTCAGTTAAGTTTGACATCATACTTACAATTAAATTTTAAAAATCGGGGTACATAGGCTCTGTTATGAAGCAGAGCCTATGTAGAAGGGGGCCGATTTCAGAAAACTATGTATATTTCTAATTAGGAGCTCAGCAAAAGTTTAGTGGCCACGGGCCAGGTGACGGTAGATAGGTAACCACAAGGTTATTATGGGGAGCAGGCCAACTTACCAAAGAGCTATAACTTCGTTCAGAGTTGTCGAATCCGGGACGCCCTGGTATGATTCGATGCGCCTCGACAAGATGAATCGGACCATACCAGAGAGTCTCGGATTCGGCAACTCTGAACGAAGTTATAGCTCTGCGGTAAGTTGGGCTCGCGAAAGTTGGGGTGTACCCGTTATTATGCCCTTACATTATTGCACCCTTAGGCATTTTAAATGCTCCCGGTGCATAATTTGTATAAAATACTATTATTAAAAAGAAAATGAATTTTTAGCACAAATTATTTATAAAAGCACAAAGTCTATACAATTCTGCGACAAAAAATCAAGCAATCTTATCTGACGCTTTAACTGCTTTAGATTTTCTTGTTGCTATAAATTTATTTCCAAAAAATAGTTTAAATAAAGAGAGTGAAATTAAAAAAATATTTTTTGATAAATTAATAACTGAAAAAATATTTTTAAAATATTGGGGGAAAATGCCGAATTTGATGGGATTAAAAAATTATGAAGAAAAAGCTTATGAAGAATTAGTTGGAAATAAAATAAAAAGTTCTGCAGATTTGGATGTTTATTTAGAAAGAAAGTTGTTAGAAAATGTTGCTAAACTCGCAATTTATTTTGAAGAATTTAAAATGGATGAGAAATTTGAACAAATAAAAATTACCGTAAATTAATATAACCCCTAGGTTTAAATTTTTAATAGGTCACTTTGAGTTGTAATTTTGTTTTAAAGAATTAAAAGATTTTATCAGATTAATTTAATATTTGAAACAATTTTAAGCATTTGTTAAACTAAATTGAAAGCAGAAGAAGAGAGGAAATGACGAAAGTGTCAGAAATCGGAAATCTTACTGAAAGTTATAGATGCTAATTTTTGTGGCCCTTTATCCCGTGTTACTCTTAATTCTATTTTCCTTAACCCCATCTCGTTATTTTTATAAAACCCCGATATATCCAACAATTTAATACCCAAATTATATTTTTAAAATTTTCCAAATTATTTTTAAAATTAAGCCCAATTATTTCTTTTAAGAGTAGGAACATTTTCAAATTTTAATTTTTGAGCATCATTTATTTTCCAAGCAGAATTGCCATTAAAATTATTAATTTGAACATTAACAAAGCTGCTATTGAGTAATTGGGTTATTTGTATTGGAGAAACATTTGTTAAATTTAAATTTTTGCTAACTATAAATTTAAAATTAAATTAATTATTTTTGTTTTTATTCCTTGAAAGTAAAGCCAAATAAATTTTGAATAGTGCCAGGATCAAACAAATATTTGATCAAATTTTATCTGATTTTATTTAATAAAATATTTGTTTGATAATTTTTTAAAAAGTCATATTTACCCCTTCCCTATATAGAAGGAGCTAGAATAACCGTGCATAACTTTCCCCTAACTTATTAGATCACGGTGATGTGTTCGACTACTCGACGAGCTCTTTGCTACAAATTGTATAATTGATCCAATAATTTTTTTAAATTTCTTAACTAAAGTATTTATCCTGAAGTATATTTTTGCCAGATATTTGTTTTCAGGTATAGGTTTTCTCTTCTGTCCAATAATATTGTAAAAATTGGGCCTTTCAGTTAAAAGTCATTGGCCCGATTGCTCAATCTACTCCAATCCTTTTAATAAAATAAACTTACAATATTTTTCAAATAAGTTTTTGGATAATTAGTTTGGCTTTTATCATATCCCTCCATTAAAATTGAAGGTCCAGAATTTCCTTTATTAACATTATCTATTGTTATTTCACTAAATTCAATTTCTTCAAAATTTGCTGAATTTACTGCTTTTTGGAATTTTAAATCACTTGTTTCGTCTAAATAATTTAATGTTAAAACTATAGCACTTCCTTCTTCTGTTATTCCATCTAATTGAATATTTCCTAAATTTGCTGTATTTTTACTTCCAACATTTAACATTGCAATATTTCTAAATACAGCATTCATTACACCTCCACCCATTGGTGGGCTACTTTTACAACGAATACCATTTGATGCCGAGACTATTACATTGTACTTAAATAGATAAATAAATAAAAATTATCTTTGCTTATCTTTCTTTAATGGAGCCTCCTCCAAAATTAGGTGAAGGATTTCACACAGACCTGGTCACGGATACTGATCTTTGTATCCGTATCCGTGACCAGGTCTGATTTTACATATCTCTAAGCAATTAACTTACCATAAACATTATAAAACTTTTAAAATTATACTAAAATTAGTTTGAATGAGAGAACATGTAAGGATAATTAATAGCTAACTTAGCTCTTTGTTTCCTGGAAGCCCTTTTCTGGGGGCTTTCAAACAGACTACAAAATTCTATTTATTTAAATACCTCAACAAGTAAATTTTTTATCCAAGCAGCTGTATGACTTCCAGCTGACGGTGCTCCATGACTGTGTCTAATATAATTGTTTCTTATGAGTATACATTCTGTTGGGTTTCCATTTTCGCCAGTACGACCAGCACCGGCAGATAAAGCAAACGCATCATCTCCAGTATCCATTAAATTATTAAGTATTTGGACATTGGAACAACCGCCAAGATCAATTCCATCTCCATTAGTTACGGCATATGTTAATACTCGGTTGTTAATTATAGCCTTTAAGATTTTTTTTAAAACGAATCCCAATCGGTGGTGGGATATCCTAATGTATCTAGTGCTCTAACATAACGAGTTTGCCCTTTGACTTTAAAAATTCGTCTCCATCCATAAGAAACTTCAAAAAACTATCAAAACACCCTGACGATATGTTAATTACCCGTTAAGATAAATCAAATCCATTTCAAAAAAACCTACAATGTTACTGCTATAGTCAAATTCCAATCCGTGAAAAGAAGGGTTTTTGAATGTTAAATTGCTTCCAATAAATAAATTTGTTACACGACAAAAAGAAGCCAAAGAAGAACGAGAACTTTGGAAGGAACCTCCTCCAGATAATTGGCTTCTTGCAAGAATTCCTTTGCTATAATCATTTGAATCTCCTTTAGAATATATAGGCATTTCATTTCCAACTTCATCTTCCAAAACTTGGTCAGTTTCCCAGCCATTACCATTAAATGAACCCTTTCCGGTAATTCGAAGATTTGTTACTGGTTTGTCTATCTTTAATATTTAGGGAAATAAATTTAACCATGTTGGGTGATAATTAAAATAGGGTTAACTACTATACATATAGTAGAGGATTCAATGTTATACTCCGAATCTTCAAAGCAGAAGTCAGGGTCTTCTCCAGTTGGATTTAACTAGTTGTTACTCTAAGCGTTCAAAGTTTGGGCCAGAAAAAATTTTTGGGTCGGAATTATCGCCCAGTCTATTTTAAATATTAAAAAGATTTCATAATATTAAAATAATATAAACATATTATTATTTAACTTACAACATTAAGAAGCGATGGAGGTTTGCCAGATCTTCCTATATTTTTGGGGAAATCGCTACTTTCACCCGATCCTTGTATAATAGCCCCTTCAGCCAATTCCAACGTTAATGCCGCTTGTATAAATAAAGCCCCAGAAATGAAAGTACCCTCTGGGACTAAAACTTTACAGTCAAAAGCAGAAGAGGTTTGTCCACAATCATTTATAGCTCCCTGAATAGCATCAGTATTTATTGTTTTTCCGTCTCCATTAGCACCTTTTTCAGTAATATCAATTATCTAAATTGAAATAAAATATAGATATCTAGAAAAAATCGTTCAAGAATAAGGTATTATTAGGCCTTTCAGTAAAAATTGCCATTTAATTTCACTGTTTTTGCCATAAATCCTTCAATATTTAACCAGAATTTTGAAATTATTGGGTCTTGTTAAGTCAGATGATTAATTTTTTTCTAAATTTTTATATATTTTTATACTTTTCCATAATTTTGAGCAGTTTTGGCAGTAAGAGTAACACTATCTTCAGATTCTCCATCAGAATATACTGCACGAATTGTAAATTTATAGAGAGTATTTGCTTCTAAATTGTCTACATAAAAAGAGTTAAACAATGTTGGAACATGAAATTTAATTTTGTCAACATTATGGAAATTATTTATATATGGGGCTGAAATTGCATAATTATTAGCATTTTCTGAAGAAGAACCAATTTTCTAAAAAAATTAAATTTTTTAGACTTAATTTCTTTTCATTTACATTTCCATTCATATAAACATTATAATCAAGTAATTTTTTGTCGGTATTGTCAGGTCTATTCCAAGTTATCCAAATACTTTTTTGGTCGTAAGCAAGTGTTGGAACACAAGGATTTTGAGGTATATCTGTATTACTTCCAAAATTTGGAGTTACACTGGCACAATTACAAAAAGGTGTTAGTCCTGTGTTATCATTATTATTATTGGTGTTGCTATCAATATTTGATTTGACAAGAGGAGCTTTTGGTGTTGTTTTCTTTTCTGTGATTTGTAATTTAAATGGAATATTTTTATAATTATTTCTCATAAAACATGTATGTAAATAGGGAATATTCCGATATGTTAAGTGTCATTCAGAGGTGGGTCAGACTTTAGATTTCCGGTTCTTCCGATTTCCGACACCCCTGACTGTTTCGACCCACCTCTGTTGCCATTGTTTAATAAAAGGTTTCTATTTATTCACATTTTATGTAATTTTTGATATTACAATTATTTTAATTTAAAAATATTTTTTTAATTCTTTTTGAATTTGTTTTTAAAATTTTAGGGGTCTTTAACCCAGTTCCACCATATATAATTCGATAATATTCTGAAATTCATAGGCTAAACTACAGTCAGAAAACCCAAAAAAAATTTGGCAGGATTTTTTAAAATTTTTTCAAATTAAAAAACAATAATTAAATTAAAATTTACTTTTTCCGTCAACAATTCCAATAATTAATACAAAAAGAAAAATAAAATATTTTTTGGTTGACATTTTTAATTTTTTTTAAAATTTAAAATTTAAATAAAATGAATTTTTGTAAATTTAATTAATTATATATATTAAACCAAAATTCTCTATTTTTTATTGCCTCCAAAATTTTATTTATAAAAATTAATAAAATTAATCGTGGTTAATAAACAGATGCTCAAATTTTTTATATAAATTTATTTAAAATATTTTTTTATTTAATTTATTTACCAATTTCCGGTTTAAAAATTTTTTATTCAAATTTTCTTTTTCAAAATTTTTAAATCGAAAATAAAAGAAAACCTTCAAAAATCTTCAATTGAAGATACATACAACTCGCCGTTAATTTTTCGTTATTTTTAAAAATTTTTTTAATGTTAGTTCAAACAAAAAAGTATATTTATCTATTACATACTAATTTATATTTTAAAAATTTAGTTTAAAAATTTTTTTAAATAATTTTTTGGTTTATTTATAATTGGGAAAAAATTTAATTTTAAATAAATTTTAACAGAGCCTGAAGTTATTTGACATCGATATAAAATAAAAATTTATTTTTAATTGAAAAAAATATACATAAATTTATTAAAGCTGGGAGGGGGGGGGGGGGTAATATAGCTATTCTTTCCTTCAGCTAGTTTTTGGATTGTATTATGCATATAGAATGTCTGTGTTCGTTTCGAGCTTATGTTCGAGACCCCAAACTGGTTTCGCTCCCTTACCAGAGGGGGTCGGAACAGTCAGAGGTGTCGGAAATCGAAAGAGCCGGAAATCGTGAATGGCTCAAAAGTCGGAACTCGGAAATCGAAAATCAAAATTTTTTCTGAAATCGGAAATTGAAAGGAAAAAAACTCCGGAAATCGTAAATCGACCCGCCTCTGCTCCTTACCCAGATTCTCTATACAAGTTTTGAAGAATAAAAAATTAGATATTTATATTGTACATAGGTATATAATTATATATACTTAATCTTAAAATTGATCACAAGGTGCAACTCTATTTCCATTTCTTTTAATATTTTTCTTCGTCCCTTCAGTTTGATTATTATTATTATTATTAATTTCGGGATTATTTAATGTAGTTGATCGAAAACCAGTGACAGAAAAAACTAGAATAATTTGAAAAATTTTTTAAATTTAAAATTAATTTACTTGATACACGTCGAATAATTCCAAAAATTGACCCAAAAAGTAATAATTCACGATTAAAACATTTACGATATTCTTGGCTATAAAATTATATTTAATTTTTATTTAATTAATTAGGAGTTTTGGGAATAAAGTAATTTATTTATTGCTTATAGAAAAATCTGTCTGGAATCTTATTTAGTAATTCAAATATTGAATTTTATTATTAAAAATAATTTTTATTATAAAATTATTTATTTCAGAAAGTTGTGAATAAACAGATAAATTTATTCTTAAAAAAGAACAGAGAATACTTACAAAATTTGAAAATCCCCGAGGTTGGGGAATTCAGAGAGGGGCTCTTCCGATTTTAAACGGAAGAGGCCATTCTGGAGAGATGCCCATCTCAGACGGAAGCAGAAGGGTGTCCACCCCAAATCCTTTACAATCCGAATATTTTTACCTGCAGATATAAAGAACAACAGCATTTAAAGCAACCCCTAAATTCAATAAAGTTCCAAAAGCCAATTCAATTATCCAAACATTAATTTCCCCCAAATGGAAAGGTGGAAGAATTACTAAACGAACAGCTGCAGACATTAAATAACATCCAATGGTTACGGAAACAATTGTAAACATTGATTTAAATAATTTTGCATTATTTTTACTTTCTTTACAAACGGCTGTATTTGTTGCTTTAAAAAATTTAATTATGAAGTTTTTTATGGAAAAATTTATTATTAGGAGTAGGGCCGTTTTCGAGTCGGGCCGACAGTCGAGGCATTTTTAAGCTTGATTTTATCGAGTCTTTTTCGGGCCAAATATCTTAAGCCCGACTCGATCCATTTTGGTAACCCTAATTATGAGTTTATGGGATTGACTAAATGAGTGTATGTCTTAATATATTATTTTAGTCCAGAAATAGGTTATGTTTCCATTAATGCATGTCATGCTTTAAATTTCATAAGATTTTTGATCTCTTCTAAGACTAGTAAAAAAAGTGTTAATGTTTTTGCACATCTCCTAAATTATCAATTCGATACTTATCACTTTCGAGATTACTAAAAGTAAAAATATTTTTGTTAGGTATAAAACCATAGCTAGGCAATTCCTAAACGGAAAACCACAACCCATATTACTTTAGAAGAGTCTCAAAATTTTAGATTAATAAATATTTACCTGTTTGTCGATGAACAGAAACAAAAATAGCAATATAAAATACAATACTTAAACTATTACATAAACCCATATAAACGAAGAAAAGAGGTTTAAATTCAAAAAGAAAAACATCGCTTAAAGTGCCAGTTTGAGGGACGTCTGGAAATCTTGTAGCAATATCCCAAAATTTTAATCCAACTAAAGAACCACAACCAAGCGAGAAAATAACCATAAAACCAAGATAAAATTTCTTTTTGACATTTTCGTGCCTAGAAAAGTTAGCAAAATATTTTTAATGTTTTTTAATTTTTTATAAGACAGACAAACATTTTTTTAAAGACGGGAATTTTAAAATACCCTCATAAACCTAAGGAGCAGTAGTGTGCCGTTTCGCCTTTCATCTTTCACCATATCTTGCCTTTTTTGGACTTTCACCTTTCATCTTTCATGTTTCGCTTTTTAAAATCTGTTTCAGCACACCCCTGCTAAGGAGGTATTTTAGGAGCCCCTTCAGTTTGTGATAACTTAATTAAATATTCACTAACCAGCTTGGGTAGCTAACTTGTAAAAGTCTATCCAATCCAGTCAATGCTATAGTTACAACACTTGAACTACACCCCCAAAGGGGAATAACTTCCCAACAAAAAACTGTCCAATATGAAATAAAATTTCTTCCAGACAAAGCAGAAACTAAAAAAACTTGATGGGCAAATCCATGAAGAAATTCATAAAAAGCATTTAAAGCTAACAAAAAGCTTGATGTCCCTCGAAGTGTTCTGAGAAATTTAAAATATATAGAAATTTAGTTTAATTGCCCCACTGCGGCTACAATAAGTGGCCATGTATATTTATGAATAAATACAGATAGTGTTCTTATTTAAAATGAGTGAATGTAAATTAAATAGGATTCTTTAATTTAATTAAAGAATTAAAATTAAATTACTTATAATATTTAATTGTAACATAAATAATTGAAGCATTCATAAAAATGCCAGGAATTACAATAATATTTAAAATAATTGCCATGAAACAGAGCATAAACGATGGACCAGCATTTTTATATGTAACATACATCTTTAATTTTAATTAAATTAAAATATAAATCCAAAGAGTTAGTGAAGGGAGTTTTCGCAGGTTCTAGATATGTAGCTTTGCTTTTAGTGTTTAATACATATGTATACTATTAGGTTTAAGGGAAAAATTTTTTAAAAATGGGTAAATTATAAATTTTTCCAAATAAATAAAAACATATTTATGAATTAAAAGAAGATTTAAAAAAAGGTTGATTATCCCCCCTTATTTTTTGTTTTTGTTCTCAAAATGTTTTTCCAAATAAATTTAAAATATTTATTTTTATGCTTACATCATAATAAACATAATTTGACAATTGTAATCCATCAGAAAAATTTGCAGACATTTTTTAAATTAAAAAAAAGTCTAAAAAATTTGTTTAAATGAATTTAAATGTTTATTTAAATAAATTCTTTAATTAAAAGTGTACGAACGAGCAAATAATTTTAATAAATTTATCTAAAAGTTTGGTTTATACAAATTTGTATTTGTTGGGATTTAATACTTCAAAGATTTTTAAAAATTAAAAACTAATTAGTTTACGTAAATGTGTGTCTGATAAATTAATTAATTTTTTGTTTAATGTTTAAAAAATTACATAAAATATAAACTCGAATAATTATCCTCTCAAATAATTACAGCAAAGGGTTTAACAATAATTGCCTCTTAAAATAGTTATATGTATTATCAGCTTTTCTAAAATAATCTCAACTAATTACTCCCTCTTATTAAATATTCCCTCCAGAAAAATGTTGAAACAATTCAGAGTAATCATTCGAGATATATGTAAAGTAATTATTTTTAATTATTGGAGAATAATTAAATTCTGGCATTTTAAAATAGATTTTAGAAATTCTCTGGCATTTTAGAATAATTATAGATAAATTAAAAGATTAAATTTTTAAAATTAATTATTTACTTAAAATTAGAGACCGGAGTGAGAGTGTTGACCGAGAATCAAGATCTCGAAAAATTTTCGATCTCGATCGAAATCTCGTCTCGGTCCGGTCTCTACTTAAAATCTTCCATGATTTTAAATTCTTAATTTTAAGAAAAAGCTTTAAATTTTTATTAAAATTAAAATAATAAAATAATAAAATTTTCGTAAAATAAATGTAAAAGTATGTACTTTAGACATAAAATAATAATTTTTTATAATAAAATTAAATTGGCTCGTTTTTAAAAATTCTCTAGAGAAAAATGTAATTAAATTTATTTTTATTATTTATTAAATAATATTTAGAAAATTAAAAAAAAATTTTTTAATAATTAAAAGGGATAAACTTTTAAACTCAAAATAATGGCAGTTTTATACGTAAAAACAGTTAAATAAAATAATTGGTATCTCTTTAAAGTAATTAGAAACGGATGGTTCACTTTTATCCTCATTTTTAGGGACAGCCAAAACATGCAAAGTTCGGAGTTAGAGTCCCTTTCCTTTTCCTCTCATTTATATTGTTGTATCCTCAGGCATTTATTTTCTTCTTCATTTATTTCCCTCATGTTGGGAAGAAAAAAGGAAAGGGACTCTAACTCCGAAGTTTGCATGTTTTGGCTGTCCCTACTCATTTTATATTTTAATTATTTGTTTGTTTGATAATTGTTGCCATAATTGCGTAAAGATTAATTTTACACATTTTCTATTGACACTAGTAATTAAAATATTTAACAACGGCATTCTTATCTACATTAAGCTAGTTTATTTACATCTTTTCGCTTCAACAAACAATTTATTAAAATATAATGACTATTGTTTTTCTAATTGTTATTTTGTTGTTTTTGAAATATGTCAAAGTCAAAATATACCGTATTTGCTAAAATAATTACTCAAGGTAATTATTGTTTAAACCGCTCACTGGAGAGGGTAAATAAAATTGAGGGAGTAATTTTGAGCTTTTTAAAAGGCTAATTATAACTAATTTTAGGAGGGATAAGAATTTTTTCGATCTCTGGCTGTAAAGGTTAATTAATAGGGAGGGGGTAATTATTAGAGAAAGTGACATTATTTCAGCTTTTACGGTTGTTAATTTTGGAGTCAAAATTATTTTGACGAGGTATTAGAAAAGTCAAAATATTGGTAAAGATTTGAATTCTGATACGAATTTTGACCTTGTCAAAAGACAAAACAAAGGAAAGTTCCATATTGAAAATACATTAGCAAGTTTCGAAAAGATAAATTAAATGAACCATGAAGAAATAAAAAAATTTTTTTTAATTAGGTTATAATTTTGAAATAAAGTGTAAATATTTAATTGGTAATAATTTAAAAAATTTTTAATTTAAAATTAATTTAAATAATTGTATGTAATAGAAAAAAGTGCATATTAAAATGAACGAATTAAATATTAATATATTAAATATTAAATAAAAGTATTTAATATATAATTAAATTTATAATTAAATAGTACTTAAATTTTAATAATTTGTAATTTATATTTTAATTTTCAGGTGAAAAAAAATTAAATTTATTTGATCTTTGAATTCCTCAAAAAAAATTTTTTTAGATTAATGGTTATTTTATTTAGAAATAATTTCTCTGCAGAAGGGGGTTATTTTTAAAGATTTTATTCAGAAAATTCGAAAAATATTTTTTAACATTTAATATCTATTAAACAGAAAAATATTGTAAAGTATAGTAGTATAGCTATTTATTTCCTAAGGCTGTGATGGATAATGGACAACACATCCGTCTGATCTACCGAAGATGCTGATTAGCACCCAGCCGCCGATTAACCCTTTGCACTAGCTAAAGGAGAGAAATAGCTATAGCCCAGCTGTTTTACTATATTAACATCTATGGCATGTTTCTTTACAATATTCATCACGTATATCATCTCCATAAAAGTCGCTATCACAAAAACCATTTACTTTCCAGACAACACAACTTTAAAAAATAAATTAAGTGAAAAACTTTTTTATATAAAACTTTGTGTGTTTTTTGTCTTTACATTCTTTCGAAGATTTTGAGGTTACAGAATTAATACATGTTGATTTACAGTATTGTTCCATAAATTCTTTATAAAACTTTAAAAATAAAATTTTATTAGATTTTATTGTAGGGCTAATTGGTGGGGTGGCTAATGATTGGCTACTGGGTAGGGTAGCCGTCTAGCCAATACCCCTTATTTAGATATATTCATTATAAGAGACAATTTCCAACCACCTTCTCAATATTGAATCTTATGGATAGTAGTCTGGAAAATTAAAAAAAAATTACTTGATCTGAACAAAGTTCTTTGTTTTCTGCACAATTTGTTCCAATATCTCCAGCAACTTAGAAATTAAATTTTTTTTATAAAAAAATTCTCATTAATTTCCCTACCATTTCCTCCAGGAACTTGCCCACCAGGTGCACTAATACCTAAGGTGGAACGCACCTCCTGGGTAAATTTTCTGCAAATACTGTTAAT